CCCCGTCGCGCGAGGATTGAGTCGGAGATATTCTCTCGCTGCGAACAGATTGTAAAAAAAGAAAGGTAAAAAGGAGTAGAAAGGGGAATCGGAGAAAAGATCAACCCAGATCACCAGTGCCTCAAATGTGAAAGTCATCATGCGCTCTAATTAGTTTTGGTCCAACCGTGGACTCCAAGTGCGCCCAAGTTCCGTTGCCGCCGGTCTAATGCTTCGCCAATATTCGGTCCCATAAAGGGTGCCCTTTGCTCATGGTTTGTATCGTTTTTCGTTTTTTCTTTTCCTTTTTTGAGTAGGGCACCAGAACCGGTCAAAACCCGTACACCTGTAATTCCTATTCTGGTCACCGCCAGAAACAAAGCCCGGACGCCAAACCGCAAGACCAAGTCAGACCAACCAGTGGAATGGAAGGTTATGTTTAGGATGTTATTAAGTGATATATGGGGAGCTCCTGGTCACATATCATCGTGATAGCTGCAAGCCAAGCGGATGCCAGTCTAGGCGTCGCTGTCGCGCTTGCGCTTCTTGGGCGCCCGTCGGTCGACGGTCGGCGAGTCAGAGGAACTCTCATCCGACTCACTGGTTGTCGACTTGGTAGCGGCGGCGTTGGCGGCCTCGTAGAGAACGTTCCCCAGCGTACTAGGGTCTCGTTCTTCATAGGAGTTTGGCGGGGTCGCATTGCCGGTGTCGATGACGCCCATCACGACAGAGCCACCCGCATGAGTGCGAGCGTGCTGCGCAAGGTTGTCGCTCCGCGAGAACTTCTTACCGCACTCGTTGCACTCGAAAGGCTTGTCCTGAGTGTGGAGGGAGCGGTAGTGACGCTTGAGGTGCTCTTGGCGACGGAAGCGACGGGAGCAGAGAGTGCACACAAAGGTCTTGGAGGGATCGTCCGTCAGGGACTGCTTACGGCCACGTCGGTTGACCGAAACGGGGGCAGCAGGAGCCTCAGAAGCGCAAGAATGCGCGTCGGAGTTGTGGCGGGCCTGGACAGCCTGGGGTGTCGACGAATTTGTCTCCGTGCTGGAGGCACGGCTGTTGACCGAAGGCTGTGACTTCTTGCTAATCGAGTCCGTTTCGCTGTCCGAGGTACTAGCCCGCTTCAGCGATTTGCGGCAGTTCCGCTTCTTGTTACCCATCTCTTCCGAGGCTTCATTGATGTTGGTCTGGACGCCAGTGAAGTCGTGGCTTCCCAAGTAAGGAAGACTGGACTGACTGAGATCCTGCTCGTCAGACTCGTCGAAGCTCTGCTCACTGAAGAACTCCTCTTCCTCGAGAGGGTATGTCGTTCCCACACGCTGCCTCTTCTCGCCCAGGTAGTAGGCGTTGCCACTAGGGGGGAAGTCGACCAGGCGGTTGACGAATTCGTCTTCCGAGTCCAGGTCCGAGAAGCTGTCAAAGGTGGGCAGGCTGCTGAGAGGGTCCTCCGACGAGGAGCAGGTGAAGGCGGGCGAGAGAGTCTCATGGACAGGAAGGGTCACGGCCTCGCCGCCCAAAACCACGCGAGGCTCCTCGTCATCGCAAGAAAGCGTGGGCAGAGGCGGCAGGTCAGCAGAGGTGGCATTGATGGAGGACTCGACCGTCAGCTGACGGGGGTCACAGAAGTCGGAGCTGGACTGCTCGGTCGGCAGACCTTGAGGCTGGGCAACGAATGTGGGGGCCACGGGAGATGGCGATGGGGAAAGAGATGGGCAAGAGCTGTGCGCTGACAGAAGCTCGGATGTTTGGCTGGCGGTGAGGGAAGGCGGATGTATGAACACTAGAACAAGTCGAGTTAGTTTCCCTGTACAACCCTAGATGTCTGGCCCCGTGCGTTTTCCGTTGGAAGCACCCATCCCTCCAATCTGGCACCCAAGTAAAAAGACAACGGGTTAGATAATCGCTTACCAGGAGTAAGAGGCGGCGAGTCAGACCGGGTCCAGTCAGCATTGGCCAGAATCTCTGCATGAACATCTCCCTCGCATCCCTCCTTGACACCCTCCACCTTCTCGAAAGCAAAGAAGCTGTCATTGATTGGGGTGTGAAGAGTGCCGCTGGTAGAAGGTGGGCTGCTGATCGAGCTCCCAGCTGTGGAGAGTGGTGGGGTGGAGGGGAATGCGTAGTAGTCGTTACCGACGAACCTCGTGTCCAAAGGCATCAGGGCAGGGGAGCCCTGCTGCACAACAATTGTGGGCTTGAGGTGTGACGGCTGAGGAGAGGCAATAGGAGTCATGTTCATGGCGCCACGGAAGGCGTTAGTGGTAGCCATCTGGTGCATGTTCATAAGAGGGGCAGTGTAGAGAGTCTGCTGCTCCGGCATGCAGTGCTGTGGTTGTTGCTGGAAAGCCTGCACTTGGCCGTAGTATGACTGCATATCTGAAGGGTGGCTGGTGAAATGTTGTCTTTGCTGCGAATCAGGGTAGTATGCAAAAGATGGTTGACCTTGCACCGGAGTAGGTGCCATGGTGTATGTTCCGTCCATTGTGTCTAGAGATAAAGAACAGGGAACCCGGTCAGTCACTCGCACTGCGCCTTGAATAGGAAGAGGTGCACTCACAGATGGTAGGACGTTGTGAATACAAGAGTAGAGGTAGCTCTACTCTTTAGTGGATATTATTAGTTATATAGTTGGTAGCTCGTCCACAGCGATGAGCGCTGAAGGTGAATGAATGTCTTGCAGAGTTGCCTGCACTTTGAGAGAGAATGACTGGGGGAAGGACAGATGATAATCCAGGAACCGCTCTCAACCAGTCGAGTATATATGAGATGCGAGATTGACTAATTGATTGATTGATTGGTATGCTGTGAGAAACGACTGTTTCGTTCTTGATAGAAAGGTTGAATGTCGTGTTGGTGGTATCTGGGATTATATCTGACGACTATGCCGCAAGTCTATGAAGGAAGGACAGGCACCTTGTATGTCGAAACGAGCCAAACCAAAAGATGAGTATGGTTCAGGACGTTCTCGATTCAAGGAAACCGGGAGAGACTGTATAGAGTCGCAAAAGTGAAAGAGAGAAAAAGAGGGCAGACAATTAAGATTAAGAGAGAGAGATAAAAGAGAGAGGGAAGAGAGAAAGGAAAGACCAGATGAGGATCGAGACAAGTCTAAAAAGGGCAAAAATGGAAAAAATAAGAAATAAAGAAGATTAATTTGAAGGACGAGGACAGTCGCGGGGAAAATGAGAGACAGGGCCGATATGGAAAGAGGAAAGCCGGCCAGAAGGATGGGCAGTGGATAAAAGAGCGACTGATCTGCTTGTGCTACGAGCTGGTAGCGCCGTGAGTAGTGAGCAGTAGGACTGGAGCCGTACTTTTTAGTCTGAAAGCCTTTTTGGGCGAGATGGGCTGCATGGAACTTTACTTTCGCTGGTGGTGGTGCCAGCAGCGAACGGTCACTACTATAATAGTAGTAGTAATCGTAATATAGTAATAAATCAACTAATAAATCTGCCGGAATGGTATGGTGTCATATGTTCGGAGACTCTTTTTCTTCCTTTTTTTATTATTATTATTTTCTTATTTTATTCTCTTTTCGTAAGATTTATTTTTATTTATTTTCGGAATTCATTTTTTGAACCCTTTTTTGGTGAATTATTATTATTTTGGATTTTTCCATTTCCCTCTTTTTTTTTTAATTTCTCCCACAGCCTTCTTCTCGACCCCAAATAATTTTTGGGGGGATCATTTGTCCTCGGATTATCATCATGCCTGCCCACTTTTTTTTATCCTTATGCACATCCGTCCTGGGTAAGTCGATTTTCTAGTCTGGGGCGGCAAAGAATAGCAGATTGGCGCCGGTGCACATCTCAGTACCAACCGAATGAGAAACTTGGGAGCGGAGACCAACGGGAGGTGGAACCCTCCTCGGCGGGCTTCTTCATCATCACAGTCAGCGGCATCAGCAGCAGTTAGTAGTTAGTTTAGTTTAGTTAGCAGCAGGAGCAGAGCAATATTCAACCTAGGCAGGTAGAGGTAGAACCCGACCAACCTAAGTTAGCCGGGACATGTTGTGCCATTCCTCAATTTGGGTGAGTGGGTTCTGGGTGGAGGAGGGAGGGAGGGACGGAGGGAGAGAGAGAGAGAGAGAGAGGGGAATGGGGGGAGGGAGAGCAGAGTGGATGGACAAAAAGTTGTAGTAAGTTGGATCAGAAGTTAACAAGAGACGACGAATCCCCGACCTGACTAGCCAGAAACTTGGCCCCACCTTGTCGGCCGCGGAGCCCAAAAAGGCGTAAGTTGCGTGGGGCACATGAGCACGAGTGGGAACATTGGCGGCCCTCAAAGCCCCATTTCAATGGTGCATGAGAAAATGGTCGGTCCTCCAAGCCCATTATTACGGAACCCACGTCCTACCGTAATGGCCTGGTAAATGCGGAGATGACCATGTTCCAATAGGAGGCCGCGATGGCATGAGCGTGTGGGAGAAATGCCACAAGATACCTGGCTCCTGAGGTACGACGCCTATCTATACGATACCTGATATAGTAGGTCGTACCAGGTGTGACTGACGCCTTTCAATTCCCACTCGTGGTGGTCCAAATGGCCACTTTAAGCCCCCCCTCTCTTTTTTCCCCCCAGAAAATCTCTTCGTAACGGCCGAGTAGTTTAGGCTTGAGGAATATGATTCCATTACCTGATAGCAATGATTGACTGCAGAAGAAGTGGGATACAGAGATAAAGCGAGAGTGTGTGTGAAAGTAGAAAGTTGGCCACAACTTTCGTTTGTCTCACGTAATTTACCCATGTTTTCGCTGGTACCGTATTTATGAGCAACCTACTAATTAGCATTCTCATGGGAATGGCTGTGTGTGTGAATTGCCACACACCCCAATCCGAGACCGTAGGTACGTATTATTATTGCTCCTAAAATAGTAGCCAACCTTCTGTGATTGCCCATCCTCCCTCTCTGCCAGTCACAATGCTTCCCTTCCCCTGCTCGCTCAGCTCTGGAGGCCCAACATCACAGCTGCGCGCTTACCATCCATCACATTTTTGCCATCAAATGACAAGGCGGCCAACTCGTTCAGCCCTTGCCATGATGATGTTCTACAACTTACAGTAGTATTACTCGCTACGCTGTTGGATGGTGGTCCCGTTACCAATTAGGACCTGCATCATCTCTTAGCCTATCTGGCTTATCAGCGGCTTGTCTGTCCCACAGACATGGACGAGTGAGCGCAAATCGGGCCAGTCAGCATCTCCAGACCGAATGAAAGTGGGGGCTTTGTTGGGCGGGGCGGGGGGTTAGTGGTGTAGAGCGAAAGAGAGAGCAAGAGAGCAAAGAGGATGCGGGTGTTAAAGGATTGAATTGGAAAAAGGGCAGCACATCCGACTAACCAATAAGCAGGTCGGCCACTGATAGCAAGCCTAGTCCTGCCGGGGGACATCGTGACATTCAACCGAAGTTGGCTGCATTGGAAGCCAATAGACTCAACCCGTGAAAGGGAGGGATTGACTCGCCGGCTAAGCTAGTCGGCCCCACTGAGCATCCCGTCCGCCATTTGGGGGATGTCCTCTTAGTCTTTAGTCCCCCCTCCGTCTCCCAAATGGAAAACTCAAAGGGAAAACGGCAAAGGGAAAAGGGAAGGGAACAAAGATGTGCACTGCAATTGAGGGAATGGATGGCCCATGTTCCAACACTGGGACCGTCCCGGGCCACATTTCGAGTAAGATCAGCAGAGCAATGACTGAGAACAATTGGTTGGAAGTTGGAGAAAGAAGTCAACTCTCACTCACACACCACTCACTCATTCACACCCACGCAACGCACGCACACACGGGCAAGTCAGTCAGTCAATCAGTTGTCAAGATTGCTGTTGTCCGGGCCAAATTGGCCAGTGCCCATTGTCAAGTCCCCATTTTCCGTCTTCCCCCTTCTCCTCCTTGCCTATCTTGCTTTCTCGAGGGTCGGTGACTTCGCTCTGGACTTGCCTTTCGGTCTTGCTTTGGATTTTGTGGGCTCCACGGTATGCACGTAATTCGACAACCGATGAAGCCAAATCCGAAAGCCGGTCCCCTGTTCTGATAAGAGAGAGCACGAACGAAAAAAACGTCCGTAAGTATACCCAATCTATCTGGCAGTAGTAGTGGCAACTAGCAATTTCGAGAAACAAGCGACTGGAATAAATTATTTCTACACCAATGGTGAAACGGTCCTGAGTAGGGCCCACCCTCTTTGTGGCATGGTGCTAAGAGTCGGTACTATGGGATACCCGGCCTTATGGGTGGCACTACAGCAGAGTACTTACTACGGACCTGCCAGCCAGGTACTTCCGGGGGGGTCTCGCGCAGGCTAGGCAGACGAATCCCTGTTCATACTAACGTTTATTAATATGGCTATTATTATTCCTGTTGTAAATTATTATTATTTTCACCGTTATTTTATGGGCCTAGGTAAGTTCTAGGTAGTAATGTCCGCGAAACGATTCCTTTCATATGATTCTTGTCGTTACTTAGAGTAGAAACCGAGAGCGGCCAGGTCCGCCATGACCCCTCCCCATCCCATATCATACCAGTAAGTTAGTGAATAGCTTGGAGACCCTATTATCCGATAGGATGTCATATGCCAGGTGCGATGCGCAAAAGACATAGTGCGTACAGCATTATTGAACCTACTTGGGCTAGAATTCTAGGCAAAGAAGATTATCGTTCATGCATCTGCCCTATCATTCTGGGGTAGATGGATACTTGGAGAACGTAACAGAGGACTAGCCACTTACTGTACCTGGATAAAATTGGGCACATAGCTGGGTAGATAGATAGTAGTGTTTTTTGTTCTTTTTTAAGGCGTTATGTCAAATCCAAGGTACTGGGATACTCCGAAACCTAAAGTACCGGGGGCCTAAGACCAAACTTTGGGGAGGTTCCTAAAATTTGGGAAGAAGTAGTACGTAGATAGTAGCTTTAGTCCATGTGAGCCAGTGACGCAGCAGATAGTAGTGTGCGCAGGCAACGCGGCGCGCGCGCTCGCGCGACCGAGCGACAAACAATCAATCGTCTATTTTTTGTCCATCCTTCCCTTCACCAAAGAAAACCTGGAACTCGCTCACATTTGAGATGCGACGTGTTCAACGGCGGGAATGGATCGATCAGGTTTGTAGTCGGTCTACTGCAGGAACCGATGCGGAGCGATGGTAAGGGTAGTTAGGTTGCAGGCTTGGTAAGAGAGGGGAAACGTCCCTGGGATGGGCTGCCGCCAACCCGACCCTTGCTTGAATCGTGTATTTTCAGTTGTCCGATGGCGCGCCAAGTGGCACAACAGGGCTTACATGGCAGATGAACGCAGCTGTCAAAATGGATTCTCAGGATCTGATTTGCTTCAGTTCTTCTTCCTCTTCGGTGTTTCTACATTGATCGGGATTAGTTCTGTCTTGGATCTTTCTTCATTTCGGTTTTCTTTAAGTTATGTGATGGTATGCTTTAGTCGGTCTCATACGATATTAATAAATTTATTTTTAACGTTCTATAGTAGTCCTAAGTAGTCGTACTACTACCTAGCCGAGTCTTCGTCTCTTGGGAGGGAAAGAAGAATGTGACTGCCTACGATAGGGCTTCAATGCCAATAAAGAGGTTTCTTTGATTGCTACTATCTATTTTCTGCAAGCCCGGCAATCTTCGCGTTCGATAGTTTGGGTTTCAAATTCAGGTACGGTGCGTTGGCCGCCGCGTAAATCCCCCGAACGACGTGTTTTACTTGCCAAATAGGTAAAATTAGAACCCATCGCAGCAAGCCCCCCCAAGTTGAAAAAGTGATGCAAACAGACCAATATGCAGGAGCAAACACAAAATAGAGGATCAACATGACGACATCTGAAGATTGTCCCTGTCCCTGAGTAGAGAGGCGCTGATGATGCCCGATGATGATGATGATGATGATGATACGCGATAACCCAGCCAGACAACCAACTGACAGGCTGCGCCACGGTAAATCATGGGAAGCAAGGGGATTACAAGCAGAGCTGTCAGACTCCAGAACACGGACCCCCTGGGCCTATCAATTTCCCCTTCCAGCCTCGGCCCATGAGCATCACAATAGCCCATCCCAAACCCTGGCCACCGCCACGCAACTGGCCCAACCGGTCTGAAACGTTCTCCTGCCGAGTCCCCTGCTCAGCGACATGACTCGTCCATCTCGTCTGCCCCTGGTGAGTATCTCAGCTTGTACATCAGTTGCACAGACTTTCTCATATTCTCTCTTGTTTTCCTTCACTTCCTGTCCAATCAATCAATTGATTGATTGATTGAATGTGAAATGAATGATTGACTTTTACTTACAAACATACATACAACATGCATACATTATAACATACATACGGTAATGGGCAGTAAAAACCATCCCGGACCGATTTACCGCACCGCCGCCCGGGGTGTGTGTGTGACTGTGTGTGTGTGTGGATCTAAAGATAGAAAAGCCGTCCATTTCCCTGGCCAGGCCACTTTTCCTTTTTCGACCGAAGCTTCCGGGAGTCGGGACGGGCCCCGAGCGAGGTAAAATCGCCAATAATATTACTCACCTACTTCGCAAGCTATCTACAGTAACTACTACTACGGAGTACGACTATACCATAACCACCACTAAGCTAACTGTAGTGAAAAGAAAGCTAGGCAGAAAACCAAGATTTGAAATCGGGATATGACTATGGAGCATTCAGGAACATTAAGAGAAGTGGGAATATCTATCTATTGCGTCCCTCGGCGTGTGTCTAGCTTCTCGGTAGTACGTAGCCTAGAAATGCTAGAAGTGCGTAGTCTCGAGACTAGAACAATTATCCTACGCTTTAGAAGCGTGCTATATTGCTTGCCACGACCGGTGTAAGTTAAACAATTAGCAAGCAATACGAGGAAGAAGAGGGGGAGGAGGGGGGGGAAGAACTGCCGACTTACCCCTTCAGGCTAGTATGTCCACTGGGTTAATCTATGCATGGAAGCCGTCGAGCTTCGAGAAAACTTACCAAGGAAGCCAAAGCAAGTTCTACCGTCCCAGCTACTGCCTAGTTGAGGTCTAGTGAGGTTGGTTAGGGGACACAACTACTCACTAGAACCCTCCACACGCTACGGAGCTCCAGTGTAGCTCCTTGGAAGGAAAGAGACTCCAGTTCTTCGAAGTTTCTATGCGCTACTTTTCTGCAGACTTACACTGTTTACGAACGGAGTACCGCTTCCAGCAAACACCGAAGGAGGCGGGGTGGGTTGTGGTGGAAAGCGAGAGGCATTCCATCGGCCAGGCCTAGCTAACTAGTAAACTACAGTAGGTCAACAATCGCAGCTAGCTAGCTAGCTAGCTAGGGAGCTATCTACGGAATTCCGTTGACAATGCCGGGGATTTCACTCGAGTTGGTTAACCCACGAAGTGTAAGCAGCGAAGCAGCCCACCCTCCAAAAGATCCAGGATTTGTCCAGTGTATGCCACTAATTAGAATCATACCCAGTAATACTACGGAGTAACTGGTTCTTTTTGGCCCTTCGAGGCAATGCCGCAAGACCCCTGTTGGTCGCCACAAAGTAAACCGTCGCCACAAACAAAGAACCGTTGCAGCAATAGCAACGCAACCACAACCACAACCAACAACAAAGGAAGAGCCGATGCGGGTCCCATCTGGTAGGATTCTAATCGCGCAAAAGAAACGATAGGATCAAACCTGCATAAGCTAATGGAGGCGGTAAATGAAAATCCGTCGTCATCGCCCGTGGTTGACAAATTGATAGCGATAGTCCAAAGTAGCTTCTTTTGTTTTTTTGTTTTTTTATTCTTTTGCACTGTCAAGGCGGTCTCGGTCTAGAAGGGGGAATGAGGATGGCGCATCATCTGTTCTACTATGGTGTACCAGCATGTCCCCATCCCATCCATTCCCATCATGCACCTGCATGTCCTTCAGGACACTTACTCCAGACGACGGTCGTCTATGATCCTCACTATACCCACAACTCTATCATTTCCCGACACCAGTGTTTACCTTACTCCGTACACCGGTGACAGGCAAAACCTCCTCCCCCCTTCTCCATTCGACTCCCGGACTCCACCAGGGCAAGATTACGAAAGATATCTAGACTCGACGGCTGTCTCGCATTATCTATTATGGCGCCGCTTCGGCATGCCACCGACAGTTTAGATGAGTAGTGAAGATGAGCGCCACCGGAAGGCAGCGCATCTTGCCTCTTTGCGACCTCGGCGGTGGGTTTCGAAATGGGGATGGGCGCGCATCCGCGCTGACAGACGGGCGGTAGGGGACTTAGGCCCGTCTTCCGCGCCAGTGGTACCCCGTGTGGGTGGCCACGCAGGTCCTCACGAGTGAGGGAAAAAAAGAAAAAAATTTCTGGTCTCAATTGCGACCGTGCGAGAAGTGTCAATTTGGCGAAGGCCCTTCTCGGATGCGTGGCCCCCCCTTCTTCTCGGGCGAATCAGACTCAGGAAAAAGTCGTGCTGGACAAAGCACTGTGGGATGTCCGGGCTGCTGCGCGTAGCCGGTGGTGGCAGAATGGGGAATCCTGACAGATTCCATGCCGCTTGGATCCGAAACTGGAGGCGAGCAGAGGGGGGGAAAAAAAGGCGAATCACAATGGGTCAGATATGGCACCGTATTCTACCCTCGAATTCCAATAGGTTCCGCGGAGACCGGAAGCAACGGTTATCGGATACCCAGATGTGTACCAAGATTATGGATGGATATCAATGGTTTATACAGTGGCACAAGATCTATGGCGGGTTAAGACTAGCGAACGACAGAGAGCCTGTGAGAGAGCGAAGTGGCCCTTATCGGTACCGGCTTCCCAAGACCACAACACACCATATCTTACGATGTTGCCTTGAACAAGACACGCCGGACAATCCGATTGCGGATCCTCCCAATTAATTACTCCCCGGTACTACTCACCGTACGGCGTATATGCTGAACCATTGAAACTGCAGCGCATCATGCGACGCCGATAAGTCACTACTATTACTGGAACGATTCTCAAGCAGGAAGGTGATTATATACTTCAGGCACCATGATCGCCTGATATATAGTTGTCGTACAACCGCCGTGGGGGGAATGATTGACGGTTGATCGCGTGAACAAATGACTTCGATGCGACACACGTAGCGATCAAATCATTGCCATCTAATTGGAATTAATGCAACACCCAAAATATGGGCATTGCCCGTTAAGCTCGCTCGAGATCATGCTGGCCTTGGTGGACTGATACGATAAAGTTCAGGCGAACCAATAGTGCAGCGCCTAGTGTGGATGAGGGTTTGACACCATCCAGAGAATTGGAACGGGGGAGGCAGGACTGGAAATTACCCTCGCTGTCAATTTCCAGCACCCAAACCGGTGCGAAACTATCACCGAGCGACCGGGCCTGCCGTGCATCGTGCAGAGTCAGAACCAGCAGATCTTCCATTCCGTGTCTGCTCCATACTACGACTACTACTAATCTACCGGCTGGAGACTGGACCAGCTTTACTACTGTCTCCGGAACGAGTCAAGACGAGCAGTCGAGGGAAGAGTGGCTAATGGGGCTAGACCTAATGTGGCTGGGACTATGGTAATGGACCTCTCCATCCATTAGGGCACCACTACGCCAAACCGAGCAACAGGAATTCCGACGGCAAACTAAACTCCTCTCCGTGGAATACTCTGTTCTTAGTTCTTACAGAATAGTACCGACGTCGAGCGTTTGGTAAAAGCAGTAAGCTCGAAATCTGAAACACACTACGCGGACAGCAATCCTCCAATCACAGCTGGCTTTGTCTAGGCGTGTCTCGGTTTCGTCTTAGTCAGGTCCCCAGAATTCTGACTGAACAGCACTAATCCCATTGCGTATACTAGCACTATGGAGTAGTACTCTGTACTACCAGATACTAGTTGGTACTTGGTAGTCCTCGTTGCCTCCGGAAAGGGGGAGGGGACAGAGCCAAGCCATCTCCGACTGTTTTACTTCTCAGCATCCACTAGTTGGTAGTAGAATGGAGTATATTCTCCGTACGACACTAAAATGACGATAACCTCTCCTAAATCGCCATTAGGGATCTCACCTCATCCCTCATCCTGAAGCCAATCAAATGGCCCCTGACTAAACGGGATAATGCTGTGAAGGTTGCTACGTCATGGGCAGACAAACCTTCTCCATAGCAATCAATTAACGTCGAACATAGTGTCTTTACCTAATGCAACCGAAGTCTTTAGAGGCTTCTTCGAACCTTCGAATCCTCGACACGGGGTGAGCTTGATTTCAGCAATAGCAACCGCCACGTACGATTCTCCAAATTGTGCCACAGTGGTGGCCTCAGAATCCAGGACCCTCACCCTCTCTTTCTCTGTCTATGGTTCCGAATTCCGGCAGACTCCCGAGCCCTTCTATGAACCAAGGATGATGAAGAGGGGTGGTGTTATGATTAACTATGGTTCATACACAGGACTCTGCAACATATTTCCGAGTGATCTCTTTCAGACACGACTCTGGGTCGTTTCGGAAGAAGAATCCACCCCATCATCAGACCATGCCATATGCCAGCTACGCCACAACATTCCCATCCTCGGCAGTAGACCATGGTTTGCAACGTATGCTCGCCTAAGATGCACTCGCCAACAGAGACGAATTTGTTGTCCGTCATGCTCTTGCGCAAAATGGATGCCGTCCGACCGAGTTGAGTAACGGGAACATTTGAGTTAGACGTAGCTGTTAACTATCCAGTTGCCAAGCGGTCCTCGTGTCTGCTGGACGGGCTGGGACTGGCGCAAGTCGGTCTTCGATTGCCGGCATGAAGCTACCGCACTTTTTGCGGGGACTTTCCACCATCACTGCCTGCACTACTGCGTGTTCCACTGCGGACTAAACCAAGTCGGAATTCCATGTCTCTTTTGGCTTTGGGCGTTTTTCGCTTAATTCCTGATCTGGGTGTCTTGGGATACATCAAGTGTGATAGTGATGAGCAGCTACCATCCCGCATTTTTTTATTTTTTTTTCTTTCTTTGTTTACGGTTCATGAGCCAACAGGGATCCAAGACATTACCCCGAGACTACTACAGGGCTGCTAGCTGAGCTTAAACCGTGCCAATCCACGAGTGACTTCGACGTGTTCAACTGCTTCTAAGGCCCATTAGTCCATACCAATTGGGGAAGGTGCGCCCTTTTTCTATGTGTGATTGTCCCATCTCGTGCTGATTCCAATCACAACTGCATGCTCGTCTCGGCACTTCAGAACACTGTCGAACCAGCGGGCAGACGGGAGGACATCCATGTGGCGTGCTCCGTTGAGTGCTGTTCCTGGATTGGTGCAGGGAAGATCATGGACTAAAGTGGCCGATCGCAGCGACCAGTGAATACGACAAACAAATTACCTAGGCCCGACACTGATAAGCTACCAACCTTTTTTTCTGCACGTGCGTATTGATTGAACAGCATCATACTCGGGTGTATCTATGCTGTGGCTACGAATTGCTCCAATCGTGGAGAAACCCGGGAGTGATCCAATGGATGCCAGCGGGGGGAGAGGGACTGATTCGCACCACCAGCCATGGCGAAAATCATGAGTATCTCTTACTCAACCCCATCCCAGCGCTACTCCATCCTGGATCGTGTCGTCGGAGCTTTTGGAGGCATGGGCTCTGAACGGCCACGGACATTGGTTATTCGTCCCGAGCCTAGCCCAGTCGGGTATATAGATAGTATTCCGACCCGTGGTTCCAGCTCGCATTGGGGACGAGGAGAGCTCTTGCGTGTGGGCTCCAGTTGGGATCTTGGTACCGTAGCCGCTCCCAGTATGATGATTGTCCGTGACTCCATTGGAAATGGCGTCACCGGGGAAATTAAGATACGGAAATCACGCAAACAGAGAGGAAGCTCACCGTTCGCCCGAGAAAGCCTGTCTCTAACAAAACTCTCTTTGCGAAGGTTGAGAACGGAGAAATAGTGCGAACCCTCCCGACGGGACAGGCTAATACCACTACCTATCTCTATATTCTTCTGACTAACCAGAGACACATAATCGCCACTTCCAAGACGCCAACATGGGCTATCGAAAATAAAAATGCGGAGAAGCAAATGGTGCGCCATTAAACTTGGCCCTGGAATTAGGGTCCCTTCGGAGCTCACGGCAAGCAAGCTCGAATCATCAACCACCCGACTTACTATATTTGTGCACCGTATACCTGCAATACTGATGATCCCACGAACAGCAATTCTCTAGTCAGAGTGGACCAAAATGCAGATTCCAAAACGACAGCATCCGCCGCACGACGAAAACAGAGATAAGAGCAACATCGGACCCGACACGTCTGATGGAGTAGGTCTCCCACTCTGGTGATCCGGCACCGTCCGCTGGGATGCGATTGGAGGTACCAATCCTCGAAAGGGCAGGTAGCAGGTTTGTGGTTTCCTGTGCACGGAAACTTCCACGCCGACATCGCTAAGCAATTGGGATTGATAACAGAGTCATGCAGATATGGATACAAAGAATTCGAATTTCTGGGTCGCAGGCAAACCTGCGCGGCATAGCGCGAGGCCAAGGTGCCTTCGGGTGAACTTTATCGCAGGAAGGAATTACTTCCATGGCGCGCTACTCCACACTCCGGGCAGCTTCTGCCAGTCGGAAAGCGCTGTCTCACGCTGATACTTCCGGCGGCGACCCAATAGCCCCCTCTGCCTCATGGGTCGCCAGTGTGACTATGCACGGGATAATGAGCATCCATAAAGAGAGAGTGATGCGATTTGTGCGATAGCTGCGTCGACCAGTGTCCCAACATGATCGACGGCCGCCCCAGCCTAGGGCCCAGAAAAGGTCTTGGATTGCCCTCTGCACATTGCACCCTTGCGAGTGGGGGAGAGCGGGCGCAAAGACTGACCACTATCAGTCTCAATCAATCACGACAACAACAGTTACGTGAGGGAATTCGTCTCAGATAAGGTAGGCTTGCGGTTCCTTGGGTCGCAGTGGGATCTCGGTCAGACCAAGCGGATCGCGGTAAGCACTGAACATCCCGAAAAGAACAATGCTCGTTCAGCTGGTTCAGCTTCCTTGGTCAGCCCGCTTCCTCACGGACCGTGCTGAACCAGAGTTTTTTTTTCAACCTCTTCGTTGCCCGGTGGTATCAGCCCCCAAGGTCCTGACGTGAGAGGTGCCCGGGCGCGGCGCGGTGCAGGCTGCAGAATGTGCGAGTGGGATGGAACCATGGGTCCTTTTTGCATAGTTCCTCACGGGTTGGGGCCAAAAAAGGTGGCTCAAACAGTTAATGCATCAGACGATCCATCGGCTGTGATGCTGATTAGCGACGAGGACACGGACATCTGCAGCCTGCAGACACAGCCATCGCGAGAGAAGAAAAAATCTGACATGCACACTACTAATTCAATACTACCAGGTTCCGGCTTACGACGACAATTTGCCCCCAAACCAATGCAGCAGGCGCATCTGCCGTCACTGTATTTAGTTGGTATGTACGGAGTATGCCGGTATTCCTGGACGCGATTGGTTTTAACCGAGCAAGCATCATGCTAGGCGATGATGGCAGTTGAACCCCGACCCTAGTAGATAGGCCCTGGGGCTGGGGTTGGGGCCAGGGCCAGGGCGCAAGGCGCAAACGGATGAGAATCCTTGTTCATCCGAACGCAATCAGCCGGCGAAAAGATTCAACTAAGACGCGCACGACGGAGAGAAAAAAGTACCACGAGTACTCTGTACTACCACTAAGAAACAGCCACGCCGACAGAAGGAGAAACAAGGTAAGCATAAGCAACAAGCAATGCAATAGCAAAGCGGAATATTAGCATAGCACCGGAGTAGCATAGCAATAAGCAAACGATCTTATACCTCCGACAAATACCACCGATAGGTAGAAATTAAATACGCTATGATCCAACCACCACAACAAGGATATCAAATATCAAAACATCAAAATATAAGATAAATCCTGCAGGAAATAAGATATAGGCCTCAGTGGATGAAGTTAAGATCAATCTCCCAGATCAACGGGAGTCAGTCTCTTCCTATCATATATGAAAAACATCCAATAATCTCATCATCGACCTGATATATTATATCAAAAGAAGAAGAAAGAATCAAAATCTTCCACACCGAAAATTTTCACTCCCACCCAAACCCGCTTACTCATCACCCACCCAACCCATCCAGATATGAGAAGAGTGAATGAATGAAATCTCGCTTAACCCGGAACAACAAATCATCCACCTCCCCACCAAACACAACCTATAAATACAACCTCACCCCAGCACCCTTTTAGGATTCTTTTTTCTTCTTTTCTTTCTTCGTGCGGCGACGCAACTATTTTCACCCGTGTTGCCTGGACATCATGCTTCTTCTGTGATGTTGTCAAACCCCAGGTGTCAGTTGCGTCACAGACGAACGGAATTGCACACCGGTTCTTACTTTATTGGTCTTTCTGTTTTCTTTTCCCACTAGGATTAGACCATTTGGTTTGGGATCGGACATTTCTTTTTCATTATCATTATCAGTACTGCTATCATAGATGTATCTGTCTATGGTGGTGGTGTTGTGATTATTTTAGTATAGATTTGTTGGCTGTAGTGTTTTACTGCCCTGCTTTCTGTGCTGGTTATGTGTGGTGCAGATTGTGGTCGGACTAGACTATGGTCAATAGGTTTCGTAGATTATGAATATTATCATTGTCATGAGTTTCAAATGTCTTCTGAGTACTCCGTAGTAGAAATGTAGTGGTTTCTGTACTGCTTTGTTACTCTGTCTAGTGCGTTGCTATCATATATCTACTCCATCCTTGTACTGGTATGTACTCACTCCCCCGGCTCATCACCAATCTTCTCCAACTTACCCATCTCCCTCTTCTCGCCCGCCTCTCCAAAGATCCTCACCCGATCAACCCGCAACTTCTCACTATCCCCATCGCCATCCACGAAGAAAATCACCAACGACGTAACACTCTGGAACTTGACAAACCGCAAATCCACCTTGGCCGTACCCGTCTTGGGATCCCAGTCCTCCGGCTGAATCGTAACCGTCTGCACAGCAGGGATATCGTCCGCCTCGTCGAATCCCAACACATGCGACCGATTCGTATACAACGACACCGTCCGGGGGCGCATCGGCCGCTCATCTTCATCCTCAACCTCCTCCTCTGCTGACGGCGGGAGCGACGTAATCTGCAACGAATGCACCTTCAGCGTAGACTGGAACGGGATGAACAGCATCAACTGCTCGTCTGTATCACTCTCCACCCAATCCGGTGCGGCCCCGGCCTTGCCCTTGGCATTGTTCAGAGAGGATGGCTTCGAGCTATCGAAGAGCGTCTTGGCTGTGCCGAACTCGCTCGCCCGGTTCAGTAGCTCCAGACCCTTGGGGTCGTATTGGTCCGAGATGTCGCTGTAGTTCTTGGGTGCCGGAAGGCCGATCCAGCCCACGCCGCTGCTGGAGCCGGCCTCGTTGCCTTCAGGCGCTTTCTCGGCTTCCGTGGCGAGCTTGCGCACGAGGTCGTTGAGCTCTTTGGCATTGGCGCCGCGGACGGTGGAGGTTGGGCGGCCGCGCTCGAAGAGGACGAAGGTGGGCATACTTGAGCAGTAGTTAGTAGCTGTATTGTAGTTTGCTTGGTCGGGTTTATAGGATGTGGGATAGGCACGTACGCTGTGATCCCATACTGTCTTGCGATGTCTTGGTTCTTGTCAACGTTGATCTTCGTAAAGGTGATCTTGTTCGGGCGTGAGAGCTGTCCGGCTAGCTGCTCGTATGCGGGGGCGATGGCTTTGCATGGTCCGCACCAATCTGCGTAGACTGTGTTTGTTTCTATGAGTTAGTTTGTATCTCTTTGTGAGGTTTGTTTGATTGTAGGAGATGGAGTGACGTTGCGAGTGAATGGACGGTGATGGTGGTGGGGAGGGGAAGGTGGGGGACAGCAGATGGGAGCTCACAGTCGGCGACAACAAAGGTGGAGGAGCTCAATAGAGAGCTGAATTGCTCGCGTGAGTTGATTTGCACGAGTGTCGACATGGTGGAGGTGTGTGTCGCGTAGTGAAGAACGCGAAGGGAGATGGAAGGAGGTTGGCGGTGGTTTGGTGAGCTGCGGTGGTGGTTACTGTTAGGGACTGGAGATATATTGCCGATATGTCATCAACGCCCCCGCCGCCCACCTACAGCAGTAAGTACTACTAAGTATGAGATGTATATGGTGAAGACTTGTCAACTCCAAATATAACTTAATCTAATCGTACCTGTGCTTGGTTATGTATCCGGTAAATTCTATTCTGTAGTCTATAATCTCAACATTTCTCATATCTCATATATCATATCTTGACCCTGGTGGCTCAGGTCTTGATGCAGGCAGACGTGGCGGTGATAGCAACAAAACCAGAAGAAACCATGCTTTACCACGAAGGTATAAGCATCCATGGTGCTGCATCAATCCGCAAGCAGTATCCCAACCTCCCTTGGAAGAATTGACACAGGTCAAAGTGCGACTAGGCCAGCAGCGTCCGCTGCGGCAGGCATCATGGCTCACCACGAGCCTATCCTCGAAGAGTCCTTTGGACGACAGACAGAGTGCGCACCGCACAATGACACTCATGGGCTGATTCTCCATCACTATACCCTGCCAGCCAAGTGCGGGCCACAACGATCGCGACCAAAAGCATCCAACGGGTATACCCCGAGCAATGAATCCATCCATCGACGCTCTAAGGCGACAAACCAAATCAAACATCACACATATCCCACAGCACCACTCAAGTATCCTCCTCATCCCCATCCTCAACAGCAAACAAAACCTTCATCCACAAACTACACCCCCGACAACCCACAACAATCTCCCCGTGCTCCGCCTCCCTCTCCAAATCCTGCTCCGTAACCAAGAACCCCCTCTCATCTCCACACCGACACCCTCGATACCAGAGCGCAGCGTCCGCATCACTCTCGTCGCACGCCAGATCCTCCAGATCAACGACCTCAAGACCCGTATGGAAAACCGTGCCCGTCTTCTCCCGCTCCGCGACCCTTGCGCGATCGAGTCGCAGCGACCGATCGTATTCAGCGCGTAGATATGGATCAGATAGTGTTTTGTATGCGGTTGTAATCTCGTCTATTGTGTAGCGATGCGTCGTGTGCGACGAGGAGTTTGTGTCTGATGTAGGGAGGCTGCTGGTGCTGGTGCTGCTGGTCTGGACATCTTTTGCGATTGCGCCGGGCGCTTTGTCCGGGTGGTGCTTGAGCAGGGCTTTGTGGTAGGCCGCTTTCAGTTGTTGTTTGGAGAGCGCTGTTGGCGTCTCTGTGAAGGGAAGGTTGAGGACTTCGTAGTGGTCTTGGGTGAGGGGGTGGTTGGATCTGGTCATGGTGGGTTGGGTATTGCGGTGCGGCCGATGTAGATGGTTTCTTTTTGCGCGAATAAGTAGGGGGGTTGGTTCCTTCGCCAAGGATAAGTCTAATTCGGTATGCAGTTACTGCTCCATTCAGTCTGGTTTGTATCTTGGAAGATGAAGGCTCTGGTGGGCTCTAGGTTGGTCAGTTGCTTGAGATGCGGCGGTTGGAGTTCGGAGATTGAAAGACTTTCTCGTCGGCTCCGCACCGCCGCCACTTCTTGTGCGCTTCCGGAGTGATGCCGACTCGGCGTGACAACAACCATACATTGTACTACGTGATTGCAATGCCGGACAGATTCCTTTGTTACATTGCAATCGATGGTAAGAAAGCGGATGCCATGCCTTGTGGGTTGAGCGATCAATAATAGGTAATCAGCCGATTCAACTACGCAGTAAAGGTGATATATATACCGCAGCACGTTCGCTAATGAGGTACTACGGCAATTATTACAAGGTATCATCTGAATCTTCAATGGATGGTTTATTGATCTAATCTTCTAGATATTCCCACCCCTGTATGGTTTAATGCCCCGCGGCAGGACATGCCTATCTAAGACGCATGCTATGGTCGTCGAACATCGATCGAGAACATGTCGGATATCAAAATGTGAACAAGAGAAAACAATGCTCCGCAGCTAAAACCCTGAAACAAACCGAACCCAGAATATTCACAAAGACCTGGAGAGTATTTACTCAGAGGTCTTGAAGACATAACGGTCCTCAGTCTTGAAGGGGACACCAAGCTCAAGGAGCTTGACGAACACATTGGAGAAGTCCTTGAAGAAGAGGTCGCTGTCCTTAGCATAGAGCTCGACGTACTTGCGGAACGCCTTGTCCTTGGTCAGGGCAAGATCAGCGGGCATCATCATCAGGGTACCAGTGGTCTTGTCAGTGAACTGCTTGGGGCCGTTCCACTTGCGCTGCTGCCACTTCTCCTCAACCAACAGACGGAAGAACTCGTTGGTGAAGACGGTAGGGCTGAAGTCCCAGGGACCGTCGAAGCCAGAGCGGTCAGTGTGGGCGCGACCAAGGGAGTGAGCTCCAACCAGGGCAACGATCTCCTGGTCGTTGAATCCCATGCGGTAGAAGATGTCACGGATGTGCGACTGCTCCTTGGTGGCGTCGGGGAGACGTCCATCAGGGGTGCAAGCAGCAACGTCCTTGTCCTGACGGCCAGGTCTCCAGGGGATGGCAGGGCCACCAAGCTCCTGGATGGCACAGGCACCAGCCAGGGTCCAGAGGTCGGAGTAGGTGATCCAGGGGAACTGGGCCTTGATGGGCTCCAAGAAGTCTCTGGCGTGCTTGAGACCAGCGTTGGCGCCGTGGTCGGACTCGGGGGCGAATCTCATGGTGGCACCGTTGCTTCCACCAGTGCCAGTCTCCTTGTCGTAGGTACCGCTTGCGTGCCATGCCAGACGGACGAGAACCTATTCAACAACGTGTGTCAGCTTCCCAGGTACTCAATGGCTCAAGCTCATTAGATGGTGAATGTCACTTACGGGTCCATAGCTGCCATCGTCATAGTCGGTCTCGTTGGCCAGACGCTGAGCAACGGCATCGTACACCTTCTGGTAGTCCTCCTTGGTGGGGACAAACTCCTTGGAGCTGACGGAGGCATCACCACCCTTCAGGTAGAAGTAGGCGCCAACACCACCAGCAGCGGCAATACCAGCCCAGAGGAGGCTGTTAGAGGACTTGGCCTCGCCAGCCTCAGAGGCATAGCCGCGGCGAGAGGCAGCACGGAAGCCCTGAGAGGGGAGGGCAAAGCGAGCACTGCGAGCAGCAGGTCTGAAGGAAGAGGTAGCGGGGGTCGAGCGAAGGAAGGCCCGAGAAGCCGTTCTAGCAGCCGATGCCATTGTGAAAGAATGTAAAGGGGAAGGAGACGAATGCTCAGGGGTGAATTGGATGTGATGGTATGACAGAAGTCAGTGGATGGTACACACAGAGGGTGGATGAAGAAACCCAGGGATAGATGGATTACCTCGGGTGTAAGACGGGAGAGAGGAGGAAGGACAGAATAATAAGGTAGGAGGGAGGAGAAGGGAGAGAGGGAGAGAAAGACAGAAGAGGAGACGAAGACAGGGATACTAATAGGCTGCGAATGTTCTCCTCAGCACTTCCAGCGACTTCCTCCACAACGACTTAGTATTATGCCGAGTCCGTTGTCCAGGCACGGCGCACCAATGGCAACACGCAGATTGACGAGCTCTGGGCCGAATCTTTTGAGTCAGCAAGTCACTCTCCGCATTTCAGGCGCCGTGAATCTCTTTAGTCCGCGGGCAACTGTGAGGAGACCAGAATTGGGTGACCCGATCTCCGGCAATTGGACCTGTCCGTGGCAAGATGGCCCTTTTCCCGACCCATGGCTCCAATCTCAGTCTACGAGTCTTTGATTCCTACAGAGTGCCACAGAGCATTGATTGACTGAGCCATTGTTTGGTCGATTGACAGTGATTTGCGTGTTGAGTTGAGAGTTGAGAGGTCAGAGTTCAGAGCTCTCAGGAGGGGCAGCAGCCCATCTCCATGCAACGATCATAACCGATGCGACTAGTCTATCGCTCGTTTCTGGGTCCGCGGGCGGGTCCGTTGCCATATTATTAACAGGAACATTCTCTTTGGCAGAGACTCGCTGGTCTCACCTGCTCTTTGCTCTCTGAGCCGCGGTAAATTCCGGGCCACCCACTGCCTTCTCCCTTCGACGGGTTCCTATTACTAAACCTTTATCCGTCCAGAATCTTCCCATTACTCAGCTCGGGAGTCTGGCTCTTATGATAACTGCTATCAACCCTTCAGAACCATTCTAGAAGTCTGCTGAACAGAGCTCTCTTACAAACACTGCTCCTGATAAAACAACTAGGCTTCGAAGCATATCATTATCAGTTGCTATGGTAACTTTGCGTCCAATATAGTCGGACACTTTGGCGACCGCAAAAAAAATAGCATGCCCGGTCATCAACCATAGCTTCAGCTCCTCTTTGATTGATCTTAAGAGTTGCAGCAACGATCATCCTCAGACAGATAGGACGAGGAGCGACCGGATGCAAGGGGCGTTAACTGGCTCGTACTTTCAGAGGGCGCAAAGCACCCGTTTCAGTAGCACCGGAACATGTTCACTCCCTTCATCGGAATGCTTTCCGTACAAACGAAGAAACACCCATTCCGGTCTTCCAGGTCTACGTACCGCACACCACATATGCACAGCTACAATATAAAAGGTAGAGATAAACTCAGGATGTCCGTCGTAAAAATAGTCCTGCCGTCCGATAAAAGCGAACACCAGGGTGGAGTAGACGCAGCTCTGCTAAAAACTGTTTGGTTTTGATCTTCCACTGAACGAACTTGAAAAAAAAGTATGCCTCTTCGCCATTGAAAAGGCTAGAAGCGCACTGTGTGGTTTTCGTTGTGCTACGAGAAAAGAAAAACGCGAGACCAAAAAAATAAGCAGAAAAGAATAAACAGCTAAATGATGCTGCAAACATTCTGCAGTCATTCCTCTACAGTAAGTGTAGACGCTTCAAGCCAAAGGCATGAGGAGGAATCGTTCATCATATCCCTAAAACCCCTATGGGCTGAGGTTGAAGGCAGGTTGAGTGACTGTAAGGGAAGGGGGAAACGGTGGGTGAGGGAAATTTGGGGAGAAAATTGGTCTTTTCGCTTCGCTTAAGCTTTAGGTCATGTGATGTAAACGCTAGCCTAAGCGAGTATGGTTGCT